CAAATTCACTTACCAGCACCCATATCAGGAGGCTCACAAACACTAGTAACTGCACCTCTAGGGGAACCAATGCCATCTTCTGTACTTTTTTAAAAAATAATTTATTGAGAATTTCATACAGGGATATAAGCATATAAAGTGTTTTGATCAAATCCATGCCTACCCCATCCCCTCCAACTTCTCCCATATCTCCCCATCAGTTTTTCTGATAACTTCATGTACTCTTCTTCTTTTTTTATGGGGCTTTTTGCTACTCTAACATTCCCCCCTCTGAAGAGGTAGCCCCAAAATCTTTTAAGGATTAGGTAAGAGCTCCTAAATACTTTCAATATTTTTGGCCTTTGGAAGGGAGTATGTTGCTAAGAGGCCCAAGGACATTTTGACTTTTAGCCAAGAAGCTGACTACTTTTCTTTGGGTCTTTTTACACTAACTGCCTAGCCAGTTCCTACCTCCTATTCTTATTACACCATCCTCTGAAGAGGTTACCCAGCTTGCGAAAAGGGAATTGGGATGCAGACCACTCTGGCTTCTTCCATGCTGAACACGGATGCAGGGTGAGTCAACTGGTGTACTCTTCTGGACTTTGTGGAAACCTTCATTCACACTTGCACTTACATAGACACACACACACACACACACACACACACACAAAATTGATAATGATAAAATGATTTAATTTTAAAAATGTTAAAGAAAATCAGATGAAAGTAATCAAAGGGATAAGTAGTAAAATCCTTGGGCTGATGAGATAGCTCAGTAGGTAAAATCTCTTGGTACACAAACCTTAGGACCTGAGTTTAATTCCCAGGACCCACTGTATAAGAAGAGAACTGATTCCTGAAACTTGTCCTCCGACATCACATGCACACCATGGTGTGTATTCACCCACGTTTATGCACAAATCATACACACACACACACACACACACACAATTTTAAAGTAAAATCTTATATTTTATAATGTAAGTTATAAAATAATTTAAAAGAATCAAATCATATTAAAATTAAGAAGGGAAGACAAAAAAGTTCCCCACACCCAAAAGAAAATATTTTTAAATGATAAAATATTAAAGCATTTTCTTTTGGGGTGCTTTAATATTGTAGTCTTTCTAATGAAAGGGATGGTCAACTTAAACTGGAGTCTCCTGTCTCTCCTACTGTTCAAACTGATATTGAGCCCAGATCCCTTTAAGTGTCAGTTGTTTTAAAGGGCTGCATTTGTTTTAGGGATTCCTTTATTCATGTGCCAAGAATTGCTTCTGGCCATAATTAGCTTTCCAGCTTGGGAGCCAGGAAGGTTCTTACTCATTTCATAGGCTCCCCAGGTCCTCAATTGTTCACCTTGGGGTGTCTAATGTGAAAATAAGGGTGTGTCTTCTGAATGCTTTGGAGGGGTGTAGGCAAACAGATCGCTAAAGAAAGCAGTCTTAGTGATTTCAACTCCTCCATAACATTAAATACCTTGAAGGAGGGAGGAGGCTTCCAAAACCAAGTGTTCTACTGGCGTGGAACCACCTGGCAGAGAATCCACCCCAGAATTCATGCTACTTATTGACCTCTGAGTTGGGACTATCAGTTTCCACAGTGATTTTCAAGTGACGGATTCTGCTCCTCACCACAGATTATGTTTCACAGTCTGAGCTTCCTGCTTCCTGGATTTCGCAGCATGTCCATGTGCAGTCCTTCCCTTCTTTACGACTGCCTTTCACAGCCCTCTCCCAACCAGAGATGATGGCAGGTGACTGCAGGATCACTGACTTTTTTTCAGTAATATATACACTTAACTATAATGGGGTTTCCTTTAATTTATGTTTTTAAACAAATTCTATTATTTTTACATTTTTCTCTCAGTATTTTTTTTTATTTTTATTGAGCTTTTATACATTTCATTTAACAGTTCTTAAGTTTAGAACCCCTCCCTTATCCATGCCCCCCCCACTGGACTTCACGTATTTTGCCATACATGTTAAGACCTATCCGGTCAAGCATTTGTACCCAGATATCCTTGATGGAAGTTCATCCACTGGGGTCTAGTCAGTCTGTCTATCTAGAGATCATTGGTAAGGCCTACTCTCCCTCACTCAGTAGTAATCATTCCAGGATCACTGACTTCTGATTATTCCCTGTGCTCCGGACCCAAGAACAACCCAGCCTTAAATATTTTGCCCTCTCTCAAGATGACCCTAGGCTACAGCCCTCGGAGTTACGGAGAGTAACTAAGTAGACTTTTCCAATTACGTTACAGTGATATCAGTCACACAATACCCCCAACTGGATTTGAGACTTGAGTGAACTGTGTCTTTTTTCTGTGGCTAGAACTGATCAGTCTCTTTTATAGCCAGGACCACCTGGCTTACCTTATGAGAGTCTGTGGCTGTCCCTCCCTGTGCTTGTAATTTCTTGCTAAAACATGTTATGGCTGCTTAAAGGACCTTGTCAAATAATTCTAATATCTCCATTATCTTGATGTTGGCATCTTTGATTATTTTTTTTCCTTATCAAATTGAGACTTCTCTTCCTCTTCAAATGACCAATGATTTTAAATTGAAATCTGGCACATTTTGTTACTATGTTATGAAACTCTGAATCTTATTTAAATTTTTGTTTTAGAAAGTCACCTCCTGCAGTGAAACATCAGAGTAAGTGGGACATTGCCTTTTACTACCAACTGGAAGTGAACGTCCTCCTAAGCAGCCTTTTTTGATATAAGATGAAATCCTTCATGGTATCAACAGACAGTACAGGGCTTGTGTTATCATTTTTGTGCGATTAGAATAAAAAATTCCGTATTTCTACTCTGCCTTTTCTGATGTGAACCGAGTATATGGTGTTGGTGTGTGTCTCCTTATATCTTGGTAACAGTGGAAGTCTGAGTTATTTCTCTGCCACTTATTTCTTGACAGAGTAGAGTTCCAGGCCTATCATATGTACAAATTTATGTGGTATTGCCTTGAGCCAAATGGTCATTGTCCAAAGGTTTTCTGTCTTGCTAGTCTGTTCCTTTTGTGGACACTAGCCTAGAGACAAAGTTTTTCTTGGCTATCTTGCTGATCACTATATCTGGATTACCAGTTTCTTGAAATCATTCTATGATTCATACATAGAAAAAGAGAAATCCAGGAATCCACTGTTGTATCATTCATCAGTTCCAAAGTTCCTAACAAGTCTATTTCTTTTCATCATTTTGAGCATTTTAGTATTTATTTATGTTCATGTCTTTTAGTAGCACTTAGTAATAACACCAGGGAAAATAATTCTCTTCCAACTTGCAGAAGCTAAAGTTGCCTTTTGAAAGTTTTTCCATTAAACAAATGAGAATAATTTAGTGCGAGTGTTTCTCGACACCTTTGAAACTTGAGTTGATTCTACAGTTCAAAATTAAATTTTCCTAGTATTCTGTGATCATGCTATGATAGAAGCAGACAGACCCATGTATGTATTTCCACAACTTCAAAATTTATTCAGTAATAATAAATTCACAGCCTATATCACTATATTGGCTACACAGCAACAGTTTTGACCATTGGCAATCACAGGTTCTTTTATTTGAATTTTAAATACTAATATTATTTCTTCGAGTATACATTCATGTTAGTCAGTGACATATAGGATACAGAATGGTTAAGAAAACGTTAAGAGGCTACAGGATTCCAAAAGACCATCTTCAAAGAAGGAGCAGTGCACTTATACAAATGTAATGAGAGTATTGGAGGTGGTTAACTAATATATTAAGGAACCCTATCATAATCATAAAGGAGTTTTGCAGGCAGACATGATTGAAGGGGTGTCCATGTTCAAGGGTAGTCCGGATGAAGCCATCCCAACTAATGCCAATTCCAGTGAGTCATGGCAGTCAGGTGGGACCACGCTGAGCTGTACTTCTGAGGATGGATTTGTGAGTTCATCACCTGTCAGTCCCATGATGCATGCACCTAATTATCTGATGATGCATCAGGGAGTATGTATACACTTCAGTGTTAGGTTTTCCTCCTTTGATATCATTTGAGAGTTGCATCATTTGTTTGTCTGGTATATTAGATAAGCTTGTGTGCTTGGTTTTGTTTTATGTGGTTTTGATATGAATATGTACCCATATGTTCTTTATTTAATTTTAATTTTATATGTTCATAAAACATAGTATTTTATTAGCATAGACATGAGTTATTTATCAGTGTATGCCTCATAGCTCTTACTGGACAAGCAGGAGGTTATTTACTTGAAATAATCAAGACAGGGAGTCATTCTGCCTCAGGATTTGTACTCAAAATGTAGCAAACTAGCTTTGTCCCTTAGTCAGTCTAAATGGCCCTTGTGTTGTGAGGTAGTCTACATTAAATATTTATTGTGTATTATTCTGTATTTTAAAATGTAGCAAACTTTTTTTGAAAAATGGAGTCACTCAAGGCAAGTCACAGTGTAAAATCTACAACTGAAATAGTTCAATGCAGAGGATAGCCTGATCCCCCATGATACTTTATTATTCTTACCAGTGGCAAAAACCATGCACTTGGCAGCACACTTAGTCAAGTTCTCTTTATTACTTGAAAACTGAATGCCTCTGTCTTTATCTCTGTTCTAATCATTTAAACAAATAAAGTACAAGAAAACTTTGCTGATAGAATTCTGCTGTGTGAAGACAAGGAAGATTGCACTTTGCTATACCAAAAAAAAAAAAAATCCTTTTTCTAAGGCATATCTGTAACCTTTTGAGGAATATAGCTTGGGTTGCTTAATGCCATTACGAAAAAAGAATTTTGTCACTATTCTACTATTATATCAAAAATAAATTGCAAATGAGTTTTCTGGTAGGAACAGGAAAATAAGACCACCTTTTTTGTTTGTCTTTTTTGAGACAGAGTGTCCTTGCAGCCCCAGCTGTCCTGGAACTCACTATGTAGACCAGTTTGGCCTCGAACTCACAAAGATCCACCTGCCTCTGCCTCCCGAGAGCTGGGATTCAAACCATAAAACATAAACCCTCAATTGCTTTCTTCCCCCAGATGAGGGGTATGTCTGATAAGTCACTCCGCCTAGTGCTGTCCACATTTAGCAACATACGGGAGGAACTTGGACATCTTCAAAATGACTTGACAGTAAGATTTCTTTTGATATTTATTTCCAAAATGTATGTTACTTTTCTAACATAGAAGTTTAAAAAAATTTTCCTGAGAGTTTCATACGCTAGTACTGTATTTACATCATTTTCATTCCTCTGTCTCCCCCTCCAACTCTTCCTCCATCCCCCAACTCCCTCTGAATTATGTCACCTCTTCTTTATTATTGCATATGCATATATACGTATGTACATATAATGTGCTGAATCCATTTAGTAGTGCTTGTATGTATATGTGTTTAGAGATGACCACCTGGGATTAAATAACCTATCAGAGTGTTAGTCACTGGAGAAATAAAGCTCTCTAATGCAACACAACAATATTGTGCTTACTCAAAAATAAACTATTTTGTGAAGCAGTTAGAGTTGAAAGTTGAGAAATGAACCATCCAGTGTGTACATGAAAGTATGTTGATATGCACTTATCATTTAATTTACTACTAAGGTAATTTAATGCCTAAAGGCAGAGTAACTTACAAAATTAGGATCTTACTTCATTGAATAAGACTTTCCGTTTTGCTGTAATAATGAAGTATACTTTGAATTTCACTTCCAGTATAACAACTTGAAAACTTCTTCCTCTCAAAACTTAACCTTTTCTACTTTGCATTTTAATTAGTGTTCTTGTTTCTATTACTAGATACATTTAGAATACTCTCCTTAAGTGAATAGCTCCTTGAGGGCTTTGGAGTGGATTTTCCTGTTTCTCTGGTTTGGTACTGCATTCTGAATGTTGGACATTAATTTGAAAATTCTTCTCCTGCTGGGATTAACAAGGAATCATTGTAGATTACAGAATAATTCAGAATGTTCTGCTTCACCACACTGAGCATTAGTCAATCCATCAAAATAAAATATTCCTTTAAATACAGATCTTAAGTTTGTCATTCTCTAGCCCACACTTTGCTCAACTTGAGAGAATTCTGCTTTGGTAAGCAACTATACATGAAGCAAGTTTTTATTTAAATAGTACAATTAAATAAGACTTCATATTATACAACTCCTAGCAATGCTTGTATTTCTGAGTCCTAATAAATAATTTATGCTTTTAGTCACTGGAAAATGACAAGATAAGACTTGAAAAGGACTTGGTATTCAAAGAAAATCAAATAAAGGAGTATGAAGAACTATTGGCATCGGTGAGAGCAAATAATCGCCAACAGCAAGTAAGTTGATGCTTTTGTTGGTGACCTGCTAGATTGATAGTTTTTCACACTCACATTTACTGGCATACTAGAGTTATGCAATACAACCAGACAGAGTTAAAATATGATGGAACATTTTGTCTGAAAATGAATGGCTTTTTGTATTTTAACAACTGAATTCCCTCTCAGAAAACAGACAACTATATGTATTATATAATATCTGTAGTGTACAATTATCTGTGGTTTTGGGTGACAAGAATTGCCATATTGAAAGTATAGGTTCACTCATTCATTTAATTTACTAGTGTGTTAACTGGGGAAAAAAAACATTTATAGATCTTGTGTTTGTGCATTGAATAAATGAGGGAATAAACAGAGGAATTCTACAGTTATCTGAGAAGAGGTGATGCCAACAAAATTGCAATGATCATCTAAAATCCATTCCTTCCTAATCTTCTTTCTTATGACTATTCCAAAATTTTTTTACGAAGTTGCTACTTGTAGCGTAATCAGGGAGAAGATCATTTTGGTATCTATTAGAAAGGACACTATGGTGTTATCAGACTAGCAATAATCTAATAACAAGATTGGAACACTGAAAATTTTATCTAGACTTTATTCCTTATTAATGAAAGCAGGCAAATGAGATTTTTGGGAAGATTACTATCTAGTATGAGATTTAAAACATAATCTAAGGACAAGAATATGAAAAAGATTCAGTTTGAAAAAAAACACTTGCTTCATTTTTCTCAATGAATCAATTAAAAGGACATTTTCCTGGAAACTTGAAATGTACTCTTCTTATGGATTTGTGTCTTCCTTCTAGCAAGGACTTCAAGATTCAAGCTCAAAATGTCAGGCATTGGAAGAAAATAACCTTTCTCTTCGGCACACACTATCGGACATGGAATACAGACTAAAAGAGCTAGAATACTGTAAACGTAATTTAGAGCAAGAGAATAAGAACCTTAGAATACAGGTATTTTTTTTTAGTGTTGTCCTAGTTATATAATTAAAAAGCTATCATTGGTAAAAATATATATACACATATATGCATATGTGTATATGTGTGTATGTGTTCTCTCTCTCTCTCTCTCTCTCTCTCTCTCTCTCTCTCTCTCTCTCTCTCTCTCTCTCTCTCTTTCTCTCCCCCCCCCCCCCCAAAATCTCTCTCTCTCTCTCTCTCTCTCTCTCTCTCTCTCTCTCTCTCTCCACATGTACTCTTTACCTTGAGAACAACTTGGACTCCTTTATGAAGATCTAACATGCAGATTTTGTCACACTGATACTTTTTTATTAAACAATTTCTCAAAATCACTTTTGTTATTTCAATGTCTTATTTAATCACATGATGTTCATGTAATAATAAACCTTGAAACCTAATATGTATTTCCTTGATAGCAATCTAGTTATAGCAAGTCCTTTTTGTCTTGCGTAGGTTTCTGAGACTTGCACAGGTCCGATGCTACAAGCTAAGATGGATGAGATTGGCAGTCACTACATGGAGATGGTAAAAAACTTGAGACTTGAGAAAGACAGAGAGATCTCCAAGCTAAGGGTATGTTGATCCTATGTATAAATACAGATGTCTACAGAAAAATTTTAACAAAATCGTGATTGTGGGGGCTAGAAAGATACCTCAGAGGTTAAGAGCACTTCCTATACAATACTGAGTACCAGAATTTGAATCCCAGTATCCAGGTAACAAGCCTCGCATCCTGCAAATGCCAGTAACTCCAGATTGGAGAGCTCTGTAGCCCTCTTCTAGCTTCTGTGTGTACACATAGGTGTGCATACATGCATGAACACACATATGCACAGACATAAATAAAATGAATCTTTATTAAAAACAATGATTATGGGAAGTCTAAAGCTACAGGGAAAAAAAGGAAGCAGTTTTTTAAAATATGTTGTAAAACATTTATAAATATGGGCCAGGTGTGGTGGTGCACGCCTTTAATCCCAGCACGTGGGAGGCAGAGGCAGGTGGATCTCTGTAAGTTCAAGGCCAACCTGGTCTACATAGTGAGTTCCAGGACAGCTGGGGCTACAGGAAGACCCTGTCTCAAAAAGACCAAAAAAATGTTGTAAAACATTTATAAACATACGTCACTGTATACTAAAAATTATTGTAACATTCATCTGGCATTTCAAGTTAAAATATTTTCTAATTTCTTACAATTTTTGTTTTAAGGATGGATGGAAGACCCTATATAATCCTGCTTAAAGCATGTTTACTTAAACAATGGTAATATTTAAGATTAAACTGCAAAAACAATTTAATTAGTAAACATCACTTAACTGATTATAAATATTAAGAAATATGACAATCAAGATAAGATGTTGAATTTTGTGTATTTGTAATTGACATTGTAAAGATACTTGCAAGAAAGCCAGGCACTGTGGTGCACACTTTTAATCCTAGCATTTGGGAGGCAGAGGCAGGTGGATCTCTGTGAGTTCAAGGTCAGCCTGGTCTACATAGTGAGTTCCAGGCCAGCTGGAGCTACAGGGAGACCTTGTCTCAAAAAGACCAAAAAAGAAAAAGAAAAAGAAAAAAAAAAGATATTTGCAAGAATATGTACAGAATATTTTGCTTGCAATTCTAGGTTAAATTGGCTTATCTTCCCCTTACGTTAATGAGCCCTAAATATAGATAAATATGTTTAAATCTTTTCTTTTTTGGATCTTTTTTTTGAGACAGAGTTTGTGAACTGAAAGTCACAAGATAACGTTAGGACTCAAAGTTCCTTAACTAGCATTTGAAGGAATCTGAAGTGTCTATTTTCTTCACTTTATGACCGAAAACTATTTCTTAGATCATACTTAATGTTAATTAGCAAACACATCTTTAAAAAGTAAGAAATTTCCAAAAGGAATTTCAAGTTACATTTTATATTGATAAAGTTCTATAGAGATTAATGGCAATTGGGGCATTATTTTTCATTTCATAACTAAACCACACTGGGAATTAGTTATATATTTTATAAACAAGCATTATAAAAATAATTATTTCTAAATCCTTAGTCTCAATTAAACCAGTACCAAAAAGATGTTTCAAGAAGAGAAGGAAGTTGCAGTGACTTTCAATTCAAGCTTCATGAACTGACAAGTTTGCTGGAAGAGAAGGATTCTCTTATAAAGCGTCAGTCAGAGGTAAGAAAAAAGAAAGTAAGGGGTGGAGAGGATAAGAGGGCATGATGAGGTCTTGTAGAATAAAGAATAAAACCCATGAATTATGGAAGGCCACATTTACAAGACAGGCTTCATTACATGTGAGAGTGTGTATGTAAAGAATAAGATGTATGCTTCAGGAGAAATAATTCACGTCAAAGAGATTGAAATAAAGGAAAGGACTTTAGTGTTGTTTAGCCTTTTCTATTTTTAAGATACTGGATTCTGGAGAGAGGCTCAGTGATTAAGAGCACTGGCTGTGCTTGCAGAAGACTGGGGTTCGAATCCCAGCAGCCACATAACAGCTAACATCTGTCTGTAACTCCAGTTCCAGGGGACGTGACACTCTCTTCTGACCTCTGCAGACATTACATGACATGGGTGCACTTACATATATGCAAGCAGGCAATACACTCATACACATAAAATTAAAACAATAAATAAAGCTGGACGTGGTGGTGCACGCCTTTAATCTCAGCACTTGGGAGGCAGAGGCAGGCGGAGGGCTACAGGGAGATCCTGTCTCAAAAAGACCAAAATAATAAATAAATAAATAAAATAAATAAATTATTAAAAAATAAGTAAATAAAATAGTTTTTAAAGATACCAAATTTATAATTCATTAGCAGTGAATTGGCCTGAAGTCTGTGAGCCCCTTGCTAGATCATGAGATCCTCCATTGTGGGTCTGTATTACATCTGTAACATGTAGCCCAGAGTCTGGCATATAATAAGTACTAAAGGAAATACAGAAATATTGGCAATTATTTTATTGCTCCTATTAAACAAGTGGCATTTGTAGTAATCTTCACTGATAAATTTCTGTAGGAATTCATGTCTACTTCCATATTGGAATTTCATTAACACTATTCTTTGACTTTACTTTTCAACTTTTTCAGGACAAATATTTAATATCCTCATACTGAGAATATGTCCATCAAGTTCCAAATATTGACATCCTAGTTTAGGTAGCAGGTTTCTTCAAAGGTACATATGTAATATCTTGGCTACTGTGAAGCAACATTAGTTGGATTAGAAAAGTTTTAGACCAGGGCTGGAGAGATGACTCAGCGGTTAAGAACACTGGCTGTTCTTGCAAAAGACCCGGGTTTGAATCCCAGCACCTACATAGTGGCTAACAACCCTCCGTAACTCCATTTCCAGGGGATCTGATGCCCTCTTCTGTCCTCTGTGAGCACTTCACGACATGGGTGCACTTACATACACAGGCATAACACTCAAATACATAAAATAAAAATAAATGAATAAAAAAATTAAAAGAAAAGCTTTAGGCCAAAGTTAAAAAGTAAAAGTGGTAGGAATTATGCTTCTTAACCTTGTCAATTGATCAGATATTCTTATTATTTCATGTCTATATTTTTATTAAGTAATCATTGTGTTTTATTTGCAAGGAACTCTCAAAGTTAAGACAAGAAATATATTCATCTCATAACCAAACCTCCAGTGGTGGAAGGACTACCATTACCACAAAAAAGTAATGTACTTTTAAATAATGTTTAAAATTTCACAGTGACTAGTTATTATAAAATTTAAGTAATTAATATTTCTGTTAAATAGAAAGAGTTTGGATTTTCTAATAGTTACCAATTCTGATGAATAAGTAAGTATTCACAAAAAACATTGCTATTTTGGTCATTAAAATTCTGTATCATACCATTCTTTCATTTACAGTATGTTAAATATCATGGAAGAACATCAAATAACTGGTTGTTTAATCAATCAAATTATTTAGGATTATTTGTTACACATGACAGAAACCCAATTTAAACTAGTAACTAGCAAATTCACTTAGATGGGGTTGGTTAGTGTGTAGATAGATTTGTGTGCTCAAAATGTCTGCATGAAAGCCCGTTTTCCACGATGGTTTGGCTCTGCTCTTTCCTGTGTCGATAGCATCTCAGTTTCCTTTCATTGTAATGATATGATGAGCTTATACTCCAGCAATTAATCAAAACCAAGCAGAAAGGCACTATGAATAGCTTCAGCAAAAGTCTGCTTTGGATAGTTCCTATAAATTTGGATTCTTATTTTCAAAATGTACCCATGTTTGGGCTTATGTCAGTGCTTCATTCTTTTATTTGTTAGATAACATCTCATCTTATTATTTATAGCATTTTATGTATTCATAAGTTGATGGATATTTTTGTGTGGTCATATGTTTTTCTGGTTTTGGTAGCTTAGCATTAATTCATTAATTATTACTATTTTTCTTCTTTTTTTTTTTTCTTTTGAGGCATAGTCTCGTAGCTACAGCTGGCCTATAGCTAGGCATATGCCACCACGCCTGGCTCGAATTCATTACATTTTTGATAGAGTATACTAGTTGAAACAATTTGAGACCTGTTTTTCCTTTGTGGGAAGCTTCTGTTTGTTTTGTTTTTCATAAATTTTCTTATATGTTCTTAAGATAGATTTATACATTATATTCTCCCAGGAATTTGTTAATTTTCTTAATGTTATCTAGTCTACCCTGCCCTCCTATTCCCCACTTGATTTAACCATTCCATTATTCCTGTCCCCCCATTTTCTATCACTGCATTCTGTCTACCTCCAATGAAAACTTGCCCACCAAGACCCCTTACTAGTTTCCTGACCTTTATGAATTTTCCAATTGAAACACACATATCTAAAGATCGAAAGCTAACATCCAGGTATGAAAGACAATATGCGACATTTGTCTTTCTGTCTCTGTGTTACAGCACTTGGGATGATTATTCCTAGTTTCATCCATTTACCTGTAAATTTCATAATTTCATTTTTATTAGCAACAGAAGGCTATTCTATGTTATAAATGCAACATTTTCATTATCCATTTTTCAGTTGATGGACATCTAGGTTGTTTATATTTCCTGGCTATTGTGACTAGAGCAGCAATGAACATGGCTGAACAGATATCTCCCTAGTAGGATACAGAGTCCTTTGAGTATATGCCCAAGTGGTATAGGCTGGATCATATGGTAGGTCTCTTTTTAGCTTTGTGAGGAATGTCCATATTGATTTCCATAGTGACTGTACCAGTTTTGACTCCCATAAACAGTAAACAAGTGCTCTTCTTTCTGCAAATTCTCACCAGTGTTCAACATTTTTTTATCTTAAAATTATTTTATCAGCTTTGCTTTCTTTAAGAAGTAACATGATTACATTGAAAGGCTTTGTATATGTGGACAATTTGGGAAGGGAGTAAATGGCAAACTCACATTATAGGAACAATGACAAATTCCACATTGTTATTGAAGCTTGGTAGTACAGTTTTGTCAGTACACAGCAGTCAAAAATTATAGTTGACATATAGAATTTCAAATTTATATTCTAAGATATAATTACATATTTTTAGTTTGAAGATTATATCAGTTTTGTTATTATAGAACTTTCTGTATTTTTTAACATCCCCAACTGTGATTTTTAAAAACAGTACTTTACTATTATTATTTTTTTTTTATTAGAAGAAGCATTTCATTACAACAGCATTAACCTATTCAATAACATTTTTCTGAGCTAGGGTACATCTCTTTCAAAATTGGCTACACATTTCTAGGTTTACAGACGAATTATTACGCTTGTATAATCTTTCACTCATTATAAACTCTATAAGACATAAATTTAAATGAGGTTCCAACGTTTAAAAAAGATCTCCACTTCGTTGTCAAAACACACAGTTTCATACAGAAAAATTCAAAATTCATCAATTGACATTGAGACGTTTTCACATACATTTCTAATCTCTATATACATAACTATCACTGGTCACAGTCGCCCACCTTCTGAGCTCCTCGGCATCTGAGCATGAATACAAACTCGTCAG